TACACGCGCACACACACACAACAGTTCTCTGTCAGCAGACAAAAATTGGCGACAACATACTTTTGGCTCATACTATTAGAAACGGATGGACCCTGTAGGCCTACAGTCTTCCAGATGAACGGTAATTTTAGAGCTTTATATTTATCATGTTATTATCTCCCTGTTGCCAACAGAGACGACCGTTTAAAGCGTGGCTAAAGAGATGTAAGATCGATGTAGGGCGAAAAAATGATAAAACTGTGACGCAAAGTGCTCTGAGCATTCATGATGGTAAGAGAACTACATCAACGAACACCAAGGGAGGATCAGAACTAAATGTTGGGGTAGGAGGAGTTCCTAGGGGCCTTAATGCATGTAGCACTGTCGAGGGGTAAAAGAAAGGAGGAGAGATGTTAAAAATGTGGGTTGAAGTATAGGATGTACGGAATTACCGTTCTATTCTATCGGTGAAAAACATATCCCAAAACCTCAACTGCTGCCCCCCCCTCCTCCTCCTAATTACTTGCTCCCATCATACTGGTCTTAAATTTCAAGAAACATAGGCCTTTAGACAATCCATCGCTTTGCAGATTTCCTCACTGACCACAATTCATAACACTGTCTGGGACATGAATTTCTTCCATCCCTTCGACGTAACTAAAATACCATCACTTTTACGTCCTAAGTTTTCAGCACTCGGGGGTTTGCAGCCTGTTCCGATTCAGAACTCCGAAACACTGGATCCTCTAATTAATTTGGTACAAATCGTTAAACAGATTATCGGTCCATCGCAGAGATTCTGCCTACGCAGCAATCAAAACAGAAAAACACTAGAAGCGGTTTCCATTCCACTATTCCAGTGTCCAGGCGATTCCATAATGTGCCGTGATCCCACAGAGACCGGATATGTAAACTCTAACTGATATGACACAGAGTTGTGTGTTTAAACGCAATACTGATTCTTAATTACAAGGAATGTTATTTAGACGTTTTGGTGTCCCGACGAAATGAGTGGGATTGAAGTTAGTGTGTACACACCAAGAGTTTATCTTAATCAAACTTCGAGATCGCAAACTCTTTCTCCGGTTACAAACTCCCCCCTTTACAAACTTCATGCGACTTCCATCACGTCTGGCGGAAGTTAATCTTCTTCATTTTGAGTTTGTGGGAGAGTGTCAGTAATGCAGGCCTCGCCCTGTAGTGACTCAAAATTTTAGACTTGGGCCTAAATCCCACAAACCTGTCCGATCCGCGAATTAAAAATATTTAGCCATCGGCGGTCTTTCCAAACAGGCCATTTAAAACAAACTGTAGCACACGGATCTGAGATATAATTCTATAAACTCGAAGTACGTGAACACAGCTGGATGAACTCAGTCCACGGTTGAACTCCTATCAGTCAGTTCACACAAGTCGACTCACAGGAGATCGATACTGACCACACCTACATGTGGCCTGCGAGCGGGCAACTTCGTGACAACGCATGACTGCGTGTGTTACGTTTCCGTCACTGTCTCCGAGATAAGTTGGCAATGCTGTGACAGAAACTCCCGGATGAAGATGGGATTGGTGATGACGTCGTCCTAGACGTCAACGGTTTTGTGATCACGAGTGAAACAGGGTCGGGACTTCCGCTTCGGCGGTCTGGACAGGGAATGCCACTACTGGGCCTCATGCTGCGTGCATATAATTCACCTCAGTTTCCTTTATCGTCCCTAGAGTCCTAGCAGTCGGCAACCAACAAAAGCTGAATTTAATTAAATCGTACGATACATCTTTTTTCGTTCTTAGCTTTGTCGGAGATTTCTCTTTTAAATAATACCTCTCTTTCACTTGAATATGACATAAATTCGTTTTTCTTTCCTTCCTTATTTCCATTGAAACTAAAGCCGCGTACTATGTTCTGTTCAAGATGTTTACGGAGCGGAAGTAAACACAGACGAGGAACACGAACACGAAGTGACACGCGTCGTTCACGATCACACGACGACGCTGCTATCAAACCCTTGTGAATTAAATGGGATTAATCTCGCGGTTGTTCGGTGGGAGGCGAAATACATGCAGTGCAAAGATACTTTCCCGGCTCTCGACCAATAGGAAGCCAAAATGACATCGCTTTCTGGCCAGGTGTTTGTTGACGTCTGCTCCATACACATCCTGAACAGACCATAGCAATCCCTTTTTTCCCCACTTCGCCAACCTGCTCCATACACATCCTGAACAGACCACAGCGATCCCTTTTTTCCCACTTCGCCAATAGGCACAACTAGACTGGACTCAATGGGTAACAACGGACATCCCGACGCGGTAGTTCGTTTCTTTGTCATAACTTGGAAGACGGGTCGCATACATTCTGCCTCTTTATTGCCCTCAGCGGTCCACTGAGGCCTCGCTCTTGCGACTACTTATCAGTGAGACTCTGTACCACGCAATGCTTTCCAGTACAACGAACGCGCATTGTTACACGTTCAGTATGAAATTCACTTCAGATCGATCCGTCTTTTAGTTCGTGGATGTAAAAGAGGTCTGCTGTATCAGCACGAATTACTTTTTTGCATCGAACCTGTACGCAGGAGAGGGCGAAATAAACTGCATATTGGAACCAACCTTCAACAAAGTGGTTTGCAGTTTTAATTTTAGGACATATCCGTCATCTGTTTTTTTTGTTCTCTCTATAAAACACAATTACACTTCTTGTGCTAAATTCTTATTTTGTCAATAAGAATGTTCTTCTTCCCCTTTTTTACCTGATGATGGTAGCAGAATCCAGATTCTTAAACGTTGTAATAAAAAATATTTAGACAAAACAAATCTGGACCCGGAACTTTCCGGATACGAAAGTGCGAACCACTCTACATCGTTTCTGATTCAAGTTCAATTCAATGCCTAGATTATTATCTGAACAACGACTATAGCTCTTTCAATATGTTTCAGTTTGTCATCGTTTTCATTTAGTTCTGTTATTTAGGCTTTGTTAGTATGGTACAATGTGGCTTGATTACTCTGTCGTTCGGTCTACGATGTATGTAGATTCTTTACGTCGGACGACAGGAAACAAGATAACAAAAGTGGTGAGAATCGAACCTAGGCCTTCAGTCCCGCCTACCATCACATTTTAGACTAATCTCTAAGGAATCTGTAAACGAGTCCAAAAAGACTGTATATTCGGCAGTTGAAAGTCTGACACGATACTTTTAAATTGCACAATTTCGTGCTCCAAATGTAATAAACACTTCCTTTCGTGGCTTCTTGCGGCCCATTACAAAGGTATAATTAAGTTAGAGGCGTATACGAACCGAGGAAATAAATCAGTAAGCCATATCGGCAGAACGGTGAATTCATTAGTTTCTCTTCAAATAACAGAGCTACTTAAAATTTCACACTCAGTTTTGCTGTAAATGCAAACACAACGAAATAAAGCGGCAAGGAGGCGTGAAGGGAAATTACACAGCCAGCGTAATCTTATACCTGCTCACTTAGATTCCAGCCTTAATCAGCATGCAGATTTATAGAGCTATAGGATTTATTCACAGCAAGGGACGGGGATAAGGAAATTGTTATCCACGGCAGGAGTGTCCAAAATGCGCCCAAGTGAAATAACAGTTTTGCGCCCATTACATCAAGAGTGAATTTATGTAAGCACGACGTGATACTAAAACTAACCATTAAGGGAAAGAAAGCGAGAAAGCAGTGGTCTGGATTGAACTGGCCCAGCATATGCAACAGTTGCGAGCTTTTATGAACGTGATAATAAACCTTTGGATTTAATTAAGTTAGAAATTTCGTGACCACCATCAGCTTTTCAAGAAATACCCAACACCATGTACAATGTTATTAATTAGTACCATTATAAAACACCATATGTGTATTTGTAGCAACAATTCTGTAGACTTGTAAAGGGAGGTTCAAAATTCGAATCTCGGCCAAGTTACTGGTAATACTTATTGAGATTTTCATGGTTACCCATGGTTTGCTGTCAATATTGTGCGTCTCATTTTCCATGTCTACCCGCAAAAGTAACGGAGAGAAGAAGCTGGAAAACTTGTTCTTCAAAGACAGCAAAAAAATTATTCCCTATGTTTAATTTTATGAGGTAAAGAATCAAAAGTGATGTAAGATTTGAGGTTTTCACATCGGTGAGTATGAAGATTTCCGTCTTCTGGGTTGTTGCGCTGTGTAGTCTGGTCGATGTTAACCAACGTTTCAGAGATCATACTGCCTCCGTCATCAGGGCGATGAGTATGAAGATTTCTGTCTTCTGGGTTGTTGCGCCGTGTAGTATGGTCGATGTTTACCTACGTTTCGGAGGTCATACTGCCTCCGTCATCAGAGTATGAAGATTTCCGTCTTCTGGGGTGTTGCGCTGTATAGTCTGGTCGATGTTTACCAACGTTTCAGAGGTCATACTGCCTCGGTCATCAGGGGACGTAGCTGTAGATATATTCTGTGCATGTACCCTCGTAGGGTATATGACGCAAGCACGAGGTAGTAAAATGTGGACACCCCGGCTTTAGTTTAGGTTCATCTCGTTATATGCGATACGGAGTGGTAAATGTCAGCGAGGGAGGGTTTTAAAGTAATGTCGCCACCCCAGTTCGTACACAACGAAGGCCGCTACGCTAATCCCACCTACAGCAAATCCTGTGTGAAAGAAACCTAAACCCTCCCAGACCTAAAGGGCTGAACAGGTTTTAAGACTGGTATTAGTGTTGGCTTATCTTAATGTGAAACAATCATCATGATCAATACCAGATTCTACGAGTATAAGAGCATGAAGCTGTAACATCGAGACAAAAAATTTTGATTTTTCGCCTACAAACAGCAGTATCCTTAAAATAAGACTGTTTAAAAACGATTAAGTATGGCGCATAAGCACGTAACATACCAAGTGCCTCGTATCACAAGGAACTGTTCTACTTCTTGATATAAACTACGAATATTAACAAAAAAAAACACAGAACGGCAGGGCTCACAAAGGCGGAGATGATACGGTGATTATGAATACTATTAATTCAATTGCATTACAGCTGGGGTTCAATGATGACAGCAGGATTAGCCACTCGTAACTGTACCACATCAGAGAGTAGGAGAAAGACCTGGAAATACGGCATGAAATACGGAAATAAGAAATGTAACAAAATTTTGATCGGAAAAACTCAAGAGAGCGCCTAAGAGATCCAGGAGTGGAAGGGATAATGCTATTAAAACAGATACATAAGGAATAAAATATGATAGCAAGCTTTAGGTGCCAAGAACGCAAAGAATGTTATCGCCACGCCCTGCCCACTACTAACACCTATTGCCGTAGTAGTGTAAGCCTAGGCCTACGATATTTGTACGTATAATTTGAATGTTTTCTTCACCTAATATTTATCACACATGGACAGAAACAATACGCAGCTCCGCCATTTAATCCCTCTTTGACGACGTCTCGAAACTCGTAAAAACAGCAGATAAAATTACAGTTCCAAATACTTTTATTCCCTTGAACAGGCCCATCAGAGGCAGAATACGCATTTCCGTTGTCTTCTTACCTGTATCGGGATTGATTGAGAAGAAGCCGCCAGGATTTCCAGCAGTGATGCGAAATGTCAGGCTCTGAGTAGGGTCCATATCATGGTCCTCTGCCTTCAGTTCCACAACTACCTTTCCGGCAGGAGAATTCTCCGGAACTGTCGGATAGTAAACAGGATCGACCGTGAGGGGGATGTTGTCATTCTCATTCTCCACAGCGATGAAAACCTGGAACAAATCAAGAGACAATTTATGACAATGAAGATAAAATGAGAAATTTTGTCATATAGGTACAGTGATGCACGTTTGAAAGATATAATCATCTCTTGCACTATTAACACCAATGCATCCAACTATGAAGGCGTATGGAGGACTGGAGGCAGAGCTTTGTGCCTCCATAACTGAAGTATTAAATAAGAGGTGACCGGTCATATTCATGTTCTGGACGCTCTGCTCCAGGGGAAACATAGCCAGCAGCCTCTGGAGAGCTGTGTCTGGACACGGTGCCTGCACCTGCCGAGAATCTAACCCTGGTCTTCGAGTCCGTCGGTTTACTGACTGAACTATCCACGAGATCTGGCAAATCTCATTTGATCTCCCTTGTAATATGTTTTCAACTAATCTGTCAACGTAAAATCGTTACTTTGAGCACCCGAATGCAAAAAAAACAAGCTCGTGACAGGACAAAAAAACTGTTGTTCTGCGTGAGCGACACAGATGATCCTCCAGAACAGAACGAGAAAAATGCGTAGAAAAAGTAGAGCCCTTGGATGGCACGTGTTACTGCGATGTTTCCGGTTCCTTGCAAAACTGAATCACATGCTGTTATGAATACAGCCCCACTCACTTTTTTGAGCAAAATAGAACTACTCCATACTATATTTCTCCATTTCAGTAGCAGTGGACAACACAGGTAAACGTAAGATTTGTGTGGTTTTTCACGTGATCAGTATATATAATTTTGTCACATATCCTGAAGACACAGGCAGTATGTCCCCCATACATCGCAAATGTTTTTATTACCACATGACGTCTTCAGAACACAAAACAGAACAAAACTGAAACTGAATTAAACGTTTGTACAAAAAAAGTCAGAAAAACAGTAGAGTGTACATAAATTTTTGATATCAAAAGTTATAAATAAATTAAACAAACATATACTTCTCTTTTGTTTACCGACAATCCGTACATTTAGTGCTTAAAATACAGCGTGGTTCATATGTCGCTTTACCGACAAAAGTTTACAAACGTTATCTTCCCTTAGCAACACTTATTGTAAACAGTATTTGATATTAAAAATTGGCTTTCATTATCTATTGTATTTATTTACTTTTGATTTTATATATAAAGTGACAACATAATATTTCGTTAGCGTTGTGGGCACAGTCCTGGTAACGCCAATTACGAGCCACTCCTAACAAATACCAGAAATTAATGCATTTACAGATAATTCATGTGAACAGACCAGCTACTTTAAGGTGAAGTCGGATAATTTATTCAGTCATATAATTAAAATAAATTTCGGCTTCGGAATAATTTTCATTTCTATTCCTCCCAGACCACGACTTCTTCTTTCCATAACTTTGCAATGCATGATTCATTATTAACCGATCAAACGATTCAATTATCTCAGCTACTGACGTCATTAAATAAACCATGAACACACTGAGGTCTTCTCGGACGATAATCCGTGTGAGAACGCTATAATCGAACGTTTCAGAGACTGTCTCTGCTTCTATCATCAGGCAGAGACAAGTCTCCGAAGCAATGGATCGTTCTGCACACTCGGCAGAGCAGTTATGCCCCTGACGCTGTGCTTTACTCTGCACGGTGAATTATTCCGTCAGCAACAGGGAAAGGGTTAGAACACCAACTGCCTGACACCGACACAGACAGCAGAGCAACAGAGAAGGGCTCATGGGAAAAATGTAGTGGCCACGTGGGTATCAAAAGACGTTTCTGAAGTACCTACTTTCCACACGAACAGGTCTAATGCATGTCGTGAAGTGTTCCTTAAGATGGTTTGTCCTTCCCTCGGGATATGGAGTCAACAGAACGAAACAGAAACTGAAGGCGGGAGACACGTCGTCGTAGACTATGCGAACTTGTACTTTTCAAAAAATAGACATGAGGAAGCATGCGGAGCCTTGCGAGACAACAAAGAACTCACACAAACAAAAAAGCATCCCCCACCCATATAGACAACCACACAAGACAGATCTACGATCATTTATATGTGCTTCTATTAACGCAGGTACGACATAAAATACACGTGTCTTCCAAATGAATTATCTGTGATATTTTCAAACCTCATTTGCCTAATTTGACTATTATAGGTGCAGACCTTTGATTACAGAGCTGAAGGGATTTATGATGTGACAGCACAGAGATCTTTTCTTTATAGAAATTTATATTTGAAACAAAGACTATGGTTGTTATAACATACTTTTTTTTTTTTTTTTTTAGAAAATCCACTACGTTTATGGGCTCGAGATTCGGTCCGAAGGTGCGTCGGTAAATAACACGATAGAGACGTATACACAGAGAGTAAAATTCTGGTACTTTCGATATCTTTTAAGATTTTGCTTCTGAAAATCGCGAAAGTTGTGCCAGGATTGACTGGTAGCCAATGACCATTTCGTGGCCGGAGTGCGTTGTGAATGTCACGGTAATTACGTCATCACTAAGGATGCGCGAGTGCACGGCTAACTGGGCATTAAATCGACCAAGATCTTCACGTAAAGAGTCCGTTATTGCTGCATAATTTCAGCCAAAAATTATTAGGGTCGACAAAATTTTAGTGAAAGACGCCAAAATCAAATGTTATAAAAACCGTTCAGCGGTTGTCCATTTATTACATTTTGACACGCAGGCACGGAGAAGGTAATGGGCGTATTTCTTGCAACTTTTAGTTGCGAAGACGCCTAAAAAAACGCTACCCATGTGGCCCACCCCATATGCTGTCATTTTGGTGACGGACCTGTCACGCCTCATGGAGGTAGAGTTATACAGACACCGCACTGCTGTTTCTCTGTAAAAAGGCGCGTGGCGCATCAAATTAAGAAGCGAACTGAGACGCAGCTATCCGAAAGGAGTCTGCATGTGACGAAAGTGTTAATGCATGATTTATGATGACTGCCAATCACTCACCTCAAGTCTAGCGTGAAGGGGGACTACGCCATGGTCCTGTGCAAACACCGTCAGCCAGTAGTGGCTCTTAGACTCCAAGTCCAGGGCAGCCAAGGTCCGGATGTTGCCTGCAACAAAGAACAGAGCACGTTAAATCTGGTTTCAAGAAATACCAATTGTGAATGAGATATTTGTCGTCTCAATTATGCTCGGAAATCAAAATGAAGTTTCTCACAGCAGCAAATGTTAAAGTGCGTTAACTTCAGAACATAGTTTAATTGTTATTACATAAAAGTCTTAACTATTAGCATGTTTATCACTTCACTAATCTGGATTGTCGCCTAATCCAGATCACAGTTCCCCCCAAACACGCGGATAAGCCAGGTTTACTGCAATATGAAATGAAAAACCAACTGATCAGTGACATAATGGAATAGAAATCAAATCACTCCAATTTTATTTCCTAGTTACGAACTTCTCCCTGCGAGGCCCCAACTTCGTTCCGAACTCTTACGTCCTCCGGCAAAACCGATGACGATGCGAAGTGAAGTCAGCGAATGGAGGACAGAAAGGAAATGGGACGAAAGACAGTAATGGCAAAGAAAGAGAGAGATAAAGTTAGCCGAAGTCTAGCTGTACATACATACCAGAGACGGCTTCGTCATCAATATTGGAGAGGGTGGGATAGTCTCGGCCGAGTCAGTGCGACACAAGATAAAAAAGATAGGGTCTGGGGAGACTGAGAATGTCGACCCCTTTGCTGCCATATTGACAAAGCCATTAGGAAAGCTGAAGGCGGGTGTAAAAGATGGCAAAGTAGTAATACAAAATAGAGACACGTATATAGTTCTACGACACAATGTTCATGAAAACAGTTCAATACATCTTCATCTTTAATCTCTAGACAAACTTGTAAGTCATTAAGTCTTTAGAAAACGATATGGCGGTGTTTAAAACATCGTTAGTACCACTCCAGTGAGTTGCAATAGGGTCCGTAAACATTAAGTAATCCATTGTCCACATATACACATTTTCAATGTCACATCTACAAACCTAAAGACTAAAAGGTACAAAAGTGCAACTTTAGACGTTTTATAACAGTTTGGAACTTAGTTCTCACCCCGAGGGAATAACATAGCTTAACAGTTTGGAACTTAGTTCTCACCCCGACGGAATAACATAGCTTAAGATTTCCTCAGAATAAAGTTCTAACAGGAAAATTAATAGCATTATGCAGAAAATTCAATTATAAGGAACTACATGATATGTACTCTTCATCAAATATCATCCTGTCTGATCAAATCAAGGAAGGTGAAGTAGGCAGTATATGTAGCATGCACTTTGAGATACAACAAACGCAAAACAGCGTTCCCAGTCGTAGAAACGCGAAGATAGAGACACCCCTAATAGTTATTACGGCCCAAATCATGAAGATGGCAGCTTTACGACCTCGTCACCTTTACCCATTTGATGGGAGCCTGGGTGGACCACGGTGCCGGTCTGGACGCGGTATCAATGAGGAAATGACCCTAAGAAAAGGAGCACTTGCGAAACTTTGCGCCGGTCGGAGAACATGTCATTAAAATGTAATGGATCTTAATGAAATACGGAGTGAGATTGTGGTCTGGATTCAAATGGCACTGGGCTGTGACCAGCGGCGAGCTCCTGTGAATATGGCTATAAACCTTTTGTTCCATAACACGGAAATTTGTTGACTGGCTTACCGACTCAATAAGCTTCTCAAGGACTACGTTGTAAAATACTACAAAGGACATGAAACAAAGCAGTAATC